TTAGAGAATTAGATACCTAACAGTTTTATTTGTTAGTCATGTATATTTCGTACAAATGAAATTAATTCATTGATTTATTTATTTGTAAATATCTATTGATTGGCCATTTTGGACCAGTTACCATGGCAGAGCTGTAAATTAGTATAGAAAAATTTGAGGAAGTTTCATGATGGAATTACTTTTTAAGTTACATAATTTATATAGGAATAAACTTTAGACCAGTGGAAACACAAAGTATTAGCAAGACAAACAAAAAAATCACCTTTGAAAAATAAATGTGGAAACCACTGTGATTTAATGTGACAGTGTCAATTACAATTAGGTGACCATACCATTGCAGGTTAGAGATTTCTGGCTTTTCCTAATCCATTGAGCAATTAATAAGTTAGATGACACTTCAGGATTTTTATTCAAGTAACTCTGAGTTAACATTTGAAAGCTTTCCATCCAACTGAAAGTATTTCCTTCAAATTTTAAAAGGTTTACTAAAATAATGCAACCATTCATCCTCTGAGTAAGCAAAAATTATAAGCAAAAATCATCTTGTTCTATTACACAAGAACTACAAGTTGAATGACAATTCTATTACTTATTTGTTTGTGTATTTATTTATTTTTTGGTGCAGGTCTCATTAGTCAGTTTAACAGCAAATGCCTTGGGTTACTCAGAACTTGGTGCCATCAAATCCCTCAGGACACTAAGAGCTCTGAGGCCTCTAAGAGCCTTGTCAAGATTTGAAGGGATGAGGGTAAGGAAAATGAAAAAACCCGAAGTATTACAGATAGCCAACATTAAATTAAATTTACTTTAAGAAAAGGAAATCCCATGCATGCGACAGGAATGGCAAATCCTTGCAAAATCGCTCTATTATCCTTTTATCTGTTGCATATTTACTTCTAGGTGATATGCAAGAGAACCTAGGCCTCCCTTGAAATGATATAATATCATTTATCTGCTGTGCTCATTAAAATGACTTTGCGTCCTAATATGTCCTGGGAGTTTCCTTACAAACCTGTATCCAAAGGAGCAGATGCACTATTAAACTACTTTGTGTACTGTTTTGATAATAATCAACTGAAGTGAATTCTACATCATGAGCTTCTCAGTTGTTATGATCGAATGTGGTCTTAATGAATTTTATTGAAAACAACACGAATCGCACATGTGCCTAAGTATAAGCATAAATGAAAAAACTAAAAATTGTCAAAATTTTGTCTGTATCATGCCAAAGGGTACATCACTTGAATGTATTCAGGATAGGTATTAAATATTGACTGAATTTTAAGCTTTTTTAAAAAGGTATGTTTAATAGAGCCGCAATTTATAATTGCATTAATAATTCTTAATGTATATACATAGTTATACTGACTTAAAGATTATATATAAATCCACCCTTTTCATGACAGTGAAGTAAAACATAACACAATGAACAGAACACGTAATTTTGAATCATTACCATAAATGATTCAAACATAATCATAACTTAAATCTCATATATCAGAATCACACTAAATTTTATATTATTTCTTTTAGGGAAATATTAAACCATTTTCCCTATGATGCATCACAGATGAGAAATTTTCCCATTATTGGCTTATTATTTTCCATGCCTTAAGTGCATGAAGCATTAATATAGCAGATATATAACATAAAAAATTAGTTGTTTTTTAAAAAATAATTATTTCCTTTCACTAAAACAAAGCTTCTGAGTTAAGTGTGATTCCAAAAGGAAAACATTGCTTTTGCTACTTAAGATTTAGTTATGTTTATAGAAAATAAGCTGCACTACAGACTTCCATTGGCATTTTCTGGGTTGTTGACCTTTTGTGTTTTACTGAACTAAAATTTATTACAAATGTCACTCTTTAAAAGCATAAGAACATAAATGGTCTTCAATTTCCCTAAATATATAAAAAATTTTCCTCATTAAAAACAATTTAACACAGCTTTATTTTATTTCTCACAGAGATCCTCACATTTTTACTAAAATGTCAGAGGAAATTCTCTCCAGGGTATGTGAAAATTAAGTTTGTTTTCCAATTAAAATACTACTTTTTTGTGTGTCAGACTGTTTCAGACCTGGGGGAAAAAAAAAGCTAGTTTTATATACTCTACTTGAAAACATGTCACCTGAATCAAAGAAATGCATTTTAAAAGTCTTCTTTTAAATATGAAATATGAACAATGCTAAGCATTTGAAGCGGTTGCAAGCATTTCAAACTTAACGTTTTGGAAGTTTATTAAATCTGTGAGTCAGCCAAATATTCTCATATTTAAAATGATATTTTCATAACAATATTTGGCCTGTTTCTATCTTTAATTTTTACAGAACTAACCTTATCTATAATTATTGATCAATAAGGCTTTTCATATTACAAGGAGAGGTGAATTTTTGACACTTGGAGTTTCAAAATTCCAAAATTGAAAACTTATAGATGCTGATAAGAGGCAAACCGATCATTTTAAATTACTGGCTTTCTGAATGTGCTTCCGTACCACGTGACGCCAGCATACACACAATCCTAAAACGGTGATCATTTCAGCATGTATTTGGCATTGTAGAGACAAAATAACCTGATTATTGATTCTATTTTTTGTGTGTTTCTAGTGTTTGGATTTTTTTACTTGGTAGAAATGTAATTGTGGATGATGTTAAGGATGGAGATAATAATGATGATATGAATTAGGTAGTGAGATTTGAATCTATTGAGAAACTCTCATTTTATCTTTTCCCTAGCAGCATAAAATCACAATAGCTGTGTCAAAGCGTAAATCAGGCACTCATTTACTTTTGTTGTTTTGCCACTTTTTCAAAGCATGTGCTTTTATGCAACATTACCAAAGACAGCATGTTGTACAGTGCTTGACAAGAAGTTAGAAAGTAATGAATGAATCGTCATCACGTTGCACTTTGTGTTTCGCATGTCCGATGCACATCTCTGGCCGACAGCTTTAAACATTTATGGTATTTCAAATTTCCAGTCCGAATGTTCTACCTGCAAAACTGAGCGGAGTGAATTGATACCGTGAATAGCTAGAGTCAAATAAAATTTGTACTTAAATTTGTATTTTTAACTTCCTAATCTGGGAAATCTTAAGTACCTTCTTTTTTAAAAGAACTCAAGTCCTGATTGATAGAGATACAGACAGCATCATATACAAAAAGTAACACCAAATGTTCTGTCATATCAGGTTAATAACTAATAACAAACTATATATTTCTATTTTATATAGGATAATCTTGCTCCAAGTTGGATGGGGTGGAGCGCTGGGTCCCCCCCTCAGCCCTTTATTCTGGGTACTGTATTACCCCTTTTCCTACCTTTCATCCTTTCACTGTGACTGTGTAGTGGGGTGAGGAGGGCTTGGGGGGGCTTTGCTCTTCTACGGCAAGGAAAATGCAGTATTTACTTACAATCCCCTAGTTTCAGTCGTCTTCAATTTTCTTTTGAGAGAATGCCTTTGTAAACTTTACCTTCTATGGATTAGAACCCCAACTGTTATCTTTATTAAGTTTCACTGAGTGGGATTTAGTTGTGTGTATATTGAGTGATCTATTGATGGGAAGAGTGTATGATTGGTGAGGGTGGGACCTGGTTTAGAATAATTGTGTGCAAATTTTAACAAGCGGATGGTGATGCTGTTTGAGGCATAAAACTTGCCATTTTCTACCATGGTCCAGGTCCTGAAAATTTCCATGGAGGTACCGGCAGTTGATTTCCTGCCTCTTGGATATGTGTGAGCTGGTGCTAGGGTGCAGGATTCCAGGTTTCCTAAGACTTGTGTTGATTTTGTGACCATTCTCATTTTTTACAGGGGTTATTTTCAAAATGTAACACGGAAAAGTATATTAAGAGTTGAGTAACAGCATGTGATTTGTGTTTTAAATGGAAAAAAGTTAATGTAAAAGGATCCACTATGTGAATTATACAGACCAAAACACCCACCTAGAAATAAAACAAAAAACACCTATTGTATATATTAAACATCTTTTAATTTAATTTACAGGAATTTAATATACAAACTCACTACTGAGAGTAAGTCACTCCCCATCACTCCCAGCTAACGTTTGGGATCTTGGAAGATATAACAGTGAAAATATGAATAACAATGAACTACATTTATTTATTCTTAATGTTTAAGGAAAATGTACACGAAGGAGAGCTTTTAGTTTTGAGGGAGAGAAAGAGTTGGAATTTTTGTTTGGATAACTGATATTATCATAGCTTTCAAAAATAGTTATCTTCATTAAACCCTGCAACACCAAGGTAGTTGTTCAATTTAAAAAAGAGAGAGATTCTATTACTCTTTTTCATACTAAAAATGTGATTTCTACTTTGCTTACTTAGGATTTTTCCTCATATCGTTTTTCTGTGTCATGATTAGAGAAGTTTAGAATCCATTGATTTGAAGTTCAAAGACAGCTCACGCAAACCGGGGCTATTTCTATGTGTATCAGAATTTCTAATGTTAATTTGCATATAATTGTCAATCCATCACTTCATGTTGATTTAATAAAAAATGCAGATATTGAGCCAGAGACAGAAAGAATTTCTGTAAGAATGGGTTACAGTAGAATAGAGAAATTCTATTTGATGACATTTTGCAAAACTTTTGTGTTCATTCATTGAGATAGCTCCTTTCTTTGATATTCCTTTTATGCAGCCTGAAACCTCAATTTGTTCTTCCCAATTTATTCAGACCAGTTCTGCCAAGTGCCTTCACCACATGGGACCCAATTACTGCAGTTCCCTGGAGCCTGAGAAGAGTTAATACACCTCCCACAGGGCTGAACCAAGGAATGGCTTGTGGCTCATGGGAAAAGACAATCCTTTCTGTGATTCTTCATTGCCTAAATTAATGTAATTCTAAATATGAATGGAATTCGCTAATACACGCCTAGATATAGTTCTTTTATCTTCATAAAAAGAAACCTTTTCTCTGGGCCAAATGTATGCCAAAATGGCAAATCATATCCTGAAAGACACTGGTTCAGAGTGCTTGCTCGAATCAAGAATTCCATGGAATTCATTTTAATGCCAAACTAATCCCAGTTTCAAAGTAAATCTCTCAGACTTGTTAGCTAACCCCCAATTTTTTGTTGTAACCAGTTCTTTATTCTCATCCCGTATCTAGAAATACCATTGGAAAATTATGCTTTCAATAAATGCTAAGCCAACCTTTATTTCATTCATTCATTCAATCAGCCTTTTCTGTATTCCTGCATTTCAAAGCACTCTGTTACATTCCTATATCGAAAGCACTCGAGGCCTTGGAGGATTCACAAATATATTTTTGCATCTTAAATTTAAAAAACAAAAAGCACATCTGTCTGAATTACAGGAATGCAATTAAGTCAAATAGAGAGCCTTATGGATACCAGATAGTGGGAGTAATCTAAGGAGAATTAGTGGGCTAGAGTGGAAAGAGCGCTGTTATATCGAATCTACTTTCTGAACTTACCTGTCTTAGCCTCATGTTTCTCACCTGCCAAGTGAAAACACAATCCAAGTGATCTCTACAGTCCTGTCCTGCCCTGGAATTCTGGTTCTCAAATTCAATAGAGAAAAACATCTTTATTTTGGAGGCTAAAAGGAGGGGTGAAGTTAGGTTCCATGAAAGAAGTGCTTCTTGTACTAAAGCTTGTGAGAGGCAAGGGCTTTTCAGAAAGGCCGGTATTGAATAAGGAATTTCAAAGGAAATGGCATCTTAATTCTCTGGTGGTTAAAATAGCACATGGACATTATATTCATTGGGTCAGCAGGAAGTGGGTAGGTAGGTAGGGAAGTTAAAAGCAGAAATATAGATTGAAGGGTGATTTGAATATCAAGGTAAGGAAAATGTTTGATAATCAGCAGGGAGCCATTAAATACTTTTAAAGGTAGACTTAGGGAAGATAAATTTGTCTTACCTGGATCACCGGAGGAAGTCATAAGACTGACAGTTGTGAATGTATGAACTTCTTGGGACCAGAACTAGAAGGGCAAAGGTGAAAATGGAGAAGGAGTGACTGGTGAGAAAGGTTTTGAAGGAAGAAGTGTTAAGATCTTTAGATCGATGTGAAAAGAAATTCAAGAAATAGGTAAAGGTAGCCAGTGTTCTGCTCATGCTCAGAATCAGCTGTCGTAGGTAAAAAAAGGCATTTTAACATGTACCCTGGGGATATACACACTAGGAATAGCTTGATATCTGGATAGTAGGCACAATCTATTGAAAAGGAAGGAAATAAATAACTTGATGTCAGCTTTTGAACTTAGAATCCAAGAGAAATCTCAGTGTATGCACACATTTAAAATGAAGTATAAAGTAACGATTTATTCAGTCAATTGTATTAAGGCAGACAGCCAAATGAGATGAGGTGCCATGTGACACAGTGCCACGTGTCAGCTTGGTAGACTGCAGAGACCTTGTCATCTGGATCTGCCTGGATAACTCAACTGGCTTAATTTTTTCATGCTCATTTCCTCACTTTCATCATTAGCGGTTTTCTTTCATTGGCCTGCTTATTGCACCATTTTGTAACCCCAGAAGGCCTAGAAGTCTATAGACGTTAAACAGGGCTCAGAAGTGTGAGGATTTGGCTCATGTATTCGTTTTCTGACAGGCAGCTGGAACACTTTGTTCAAAAAATACATTGGCATTAAGTGGTGGATAGAAGTTATTTTGATATGCCCATTAGATAGGATTAATTTAGCTCTCAATGTTCAAGTTTGAGGCATCACCTACCGCTTACCAGCATTTTAGGGCCTGTCTTTATCTTCCCTTTTAGCTACTCATGTGCACCTCAAATCGGAACTGTGGAGGAGGAAGCAAGCACAGCCATCCCTACAAGGTTGCCAAAAATGAAAACTCAGATTTTTAATTTGTGATCCAGAAATAAAGATAAGAGGAAGAAAACACATGCTTCCATAAAAAAAAGAGGAGATAATTATTTAGCACAGAACTTGATGTAGTCACATCAGATTTGGGAACTATGTATGGCATCCCTCCTTTTCATATTCTCCTAAGAAACTGATTTGTATTATGTTTCATTTAAAATCAGTTTATTGAATTAAACTCAGTAAATGAAACAACTGACATGACTGGAGCTTGAAATAAATGATGTGATGATCTAATGAAATACATAATGCTAAATTGTCTTGCTTCTTCTGCAAAAATTATTATTAGTTATAGCAATGCATGAATAATTACAGACAAAATTATATTAGGTATTTAATAATAGTTTTATATTTATACATCTGAATTTTTAGTTTCTGAAAGTATATTGGTCAAATCAACTCATGTCCAAATATTTTAGCTTCATTCTTCAATATATTGCCTTTTTTAAATGAGTTAATCTTCTGTGTTAGGATTTTCTACTTCTCTTTTGTTCTAATAAACAATAAATATTCTGATGCTATCTGGCAGCAAATTCCTCTGATTTTACTTTTCCTTTAATCTTTTAGTACTTCTCCCTCTTTTTCTTTTTAAACATTTTTCTGTTTCTTTATTATATTGCCTGTATTTGTTTCCCTAAATGTACTGCTTAAGAAAGAATGAATTTCATTTTAAGATTTTTTCACTTTGTTTCTGAATATCCTAGAATAATCTTGATAGTAAAAAAAAAAATTAGGACTAAAGATTACTAGGGGAATGTCTTTCTTTTTTTAACCAACAAGAATTCTGACTTTTCTTTTTTTCCATTTGTGTATTAGGTGGTTGTGAATGCCCTTTTAGGAGCAATTCCCTCCATCATGAATGTGCTTCTGGTTTGTCTTATATTCTGGCTAATTTTCAGCATCATGGGCGTAAATTTGTTTGCTGGCAAATTCTACCACTGTGTTAACACCACAACTGATGACATATTTGACATCAGCGAAGTGAATAATCATTCTGATTGCCTAGAACTAATAGAAAGAAATGAGACTGCCCGATGGAAAAATGTGAAAGTAAACTTTGATAATGTAGGATTTGGGTATCTCTCTTTGCTTCAAGTTGTAAGTGAACCCTCTTTTCTCTGAAATTTGTTTATTGTTTGGAATAGTAATGAAGTAATGACATACATCTAAGTCACTGAGAAGAAAGTGTATAACATATTTATTTTTTTCTCATTTTGATTTATTAGTACAAATATAGGAGCCCAGATGGGTGGAAACTTCAGTACATTTAAGCAGTGCAGAGAGAGTTGATAGTGGCCAGGTACTTCAATGCTTTCCAAAGATCTTTTTCTTTTTCTTCCCATATTACTCCCTCTTCCCTAAGCAAGCTGGTTAATAAATCCATGTTTGCAATTGGACAGCTTGTTTCACGATGGACCATGCTCCCAAAACACACATTGGTAACACACCTGATTGAACTGTAATTAATTGGTGGGAATTACCTGCTACTGAGTAGGCTCTGGTTTTGGACTGAAGACTGGGGAATGCTATTCAGGGTTTAAGATTAGATCCTCATGGTGGAATGGAAATAATCTAGAGTGGCACCTAACCACAGAAATGAAACTTGAGCAGCAGTTATCTCCCCTCAAATGACCTTCCTGTACAATTACTGAAATCTACTTTATCTAAATATTAATGACACTCACTACTGGGTCTCTAAGCTGATTTATGCAAAAGAAAAATAGGTCACAATTTATAAAAAACACGAAGATGGTGGCCCTTTAAACATTTGCATTCGATGCTCCTTGTGTCAGTAGCTGCATGATAGCAAAGCAGTGGATAAAAGCAAGGGTCCAGATTGGCTGAAAAACATAGCAAAAATACTGCTCTGTTTTAGCTGCTGAAAATCCAGTTTACAAGGGACAAAAAAAAAAAAAAAAGCTATACAGTTCTTGCCTTGTGTTTCTATAGAGTCTTTGGGGCAGGAACCTATTTCTGTTCACTGGGGTTATGTTTCTCATTGCTCAGCCAGGGGACTAACAAAGCAACCTACCCTGGTCAAACCCTCTTGCATCTCTGCACTATGACTCCGTGCAAGTTCTTCCCACCCCTTTGTTGGAATTTCTTATTTCTCTTCTGGATGTTTCTCATTCTGAATGTTCGTTGCAAGTAAAATAGGGACTTACAAAATACAGTGAGAATGATTTCTTTAAATATCATAGTAGAAATATGGTGATATTTCCTTGGGATTTATCCTACCCCTTAGGTAATAACCACACTTAGAAATATCTCTAAAGCGTATCACTTCCTCTACAAAATTGAGAAAAGGAAAATTGAAAATTTCAAGCAATCCCTTAAAATGCCTAACAATTCTGAAAATACAGGGTAAAAATCCTAGATGAAGCCACTGATAAATTCTGCTACTAAAGAAACTCTAAGGTACCTCTCCATACTTGGCTTTATACAAAAATCACCTCTCTGTTGATTAGCAACTTATGAAATGGTTACTTGAAACACTTTTTTCTGTTCGTGTACCTAATGTGTAATGGACTTGTTCTATCATTGACTCAGCTATTGACACATTCAACATTTTCTTCTTTGATATACAAGTTAACTTCTACCTTCTAGCCAAGAAATATTATTTTTTCTTCATTACCATCACACACACACCCTAACTTGGCTTTCTTCCCATGACATTGACTACTTCACAAGTGTTAGTGTTATAAAAACAAAGAGTGCTGGGATATAGACACTGAGAGCTTTGTTAGACTTGCTCATTAGCTGAGGAATAATCCACTCAGACCCATAGGGCTCAAAATTCATGTCCTAGTACAAATTGTTCTAATTATTAGACTTGGGAACCTTCTTGAATCTGTGAATGCCAACTGTCTACTATACTATTTTCTACTTACTCATAATAACTCATTCTCATCAAAAATTACAGAGAAGAAAGTGAAATATAGGATTATTTCTGGATGTTATGCTTTGAATTTCTTAACTAGATACTTGCAACTCTGACTTTGTGTATACCGGTAGGATCCTTAGAGTGTCACCAAAGAGAAGTCTTACACTTTCAGTCACTTGGATCACTTTGCACATAGATTTCAGTAGGTGATCCCCAGATTCAAGTCGTAATTATTTTCTTCCTGCAGGCATTGCTAAGTGTGCTCGCGTTTGTAAACCTTTCTAAAATTATTCCACCAAATGCTTATCACACTTTAAAATAATGTGATTCCACTAACTCTAAAGACTTGAGAAGGTAGTTATCAAGCAAGAGGATATAGGAAATGACCATTTTGTTCATTATGTATTCTAGAAATGAAAAGCCTAACTAATTTGTGTTGGTCCAAAATTCATGGAAAATTTGTTTAAAATATATTTTGAAAATATTCATTTAAAAAATATAGAAATAAGAATAGTAAACATTAAGTATAAATTATTTTTACTCCAAAGTAAAGCATGCATGTCCTTTTTAATAGGCCACATTTAAGGGATGGATGGATATAATGTATGCAGCAGTTGATTCCAGAAATGTAAGTATTCCTTACAGCCTGGTTTGTTTTTTAACAATATTGGTTAAGTGCTAAAATTAATTGAACAGAGTATACCAGTTAAATGGAATGATTCTTTGATGACTAAAAAAATAAAGGAAAAAATGTGCCTCAACTTACTTTTCAAGTACAGCAATCTTTATCAGAAAGATCTCACTAAAATAAATCAAAATATAAGTTATTTTCAAAGTTAAGTATTCATATATCTAATAACTAACAAATATCCTCCTAGTAAATATTTTTCAGCTTTATTTCCTCTCATCTACTAGTTACATAATCAATAATACGGTGTGCAGGAGCAAATGTGAAAAAGTATATGATTTCCATCAATAGAAGAAATACGTAGTTATTTTCCATATTAGACAGTATCAATAGTTTGGGATGTTGTACAAGCAGCCTTAGATTTCTATAATAGTCCCTTTCAGAATCATTCTTTTATATGAGTTTAGCCTCCATAAATTTACTGGAACCTTTACGAATGCTGTTACCACTTCTATGGCCAACAGTTTCCTTTTAGTTTTTATCTCCAAAGGCCTACTTTATTTGGTTTCTCCTGCAGCAGCCTCTTCCAGGTTTCAAGAAGAGAAGTGAAATCGTGCTATTGCGACTCTACTCTTAAACCTTTGTAAAATTTAGTATTTGCTATCAGCCTTCATCTTTCCATTCTAAGGTCCAATCTGTTCAGTCTATTATCATAAAAAATAATTTCTATTGTGATCTTTAAACTGACCTGATAGAGCTCACTTTTATCTTTCTTTATATGCACTCTCATAAATGACTTCAGTTTTATGTTGAATATATTCCTGATATCCTTCAGAGTTATTTCACTTCACTACTTACTACTTTGTTTTGTGTGTCTGATTGGTTTTTAACTTTATTGTCTTAAGAAGGATGTGAATCTATTAGGGAACTAACTATAGAGACTCCTTTACCCCTTTATTAAGGTGAAAGTGCTGGCTCAATGCTAACAATATAAGTACAATCTAGAGATTAAACTATCGAGTGAGAATTTCTAAAATGGAGTGTCCAGTTATGACTAATCAATCTGAAAATTGTAATGTTGAAGCTATTGTGCCAAACATCTAAATGAATAATTCAATTCTTGTTTGCTGAATAAATTCATGCATACATATATGGGGTTTCTACACATAGTCTACACATAGTTACTGAAGTACAAAGGTTTCACTAATAATTTTAAAGTGATTAAAATTCAGTATGTTAAAAAGTTTGCCAAATTTAGCACACTACTGTCCAAATAATGAGATATTACTTACAAAAAATAGATTCTGAAGTGTCATAATAACCATATTTTTCACAGGAACGCATTGCTAAATAAAGGCTAATTTCTGAGATTTTTTTTAGAGGTGGCTTATTCAGAGGGAAGAAAAAAGTACTGCTTCTGTATTATGAGGAATTTTCTGATCTCATGAAAAAGCACCAATGACTTCCAGCACGAAAAATGCATTGTGATATTTTATAAAATATTCTCCTTTGATAGGTGGAACTCCAGCCTAAGTATGAGGAAAGTCTATACATGTATCTTTACTTTGTTATTTTCATCATCTTTGGGTCCTTCTTCACCTTGAACCTGTTCATTGGTGTCATCATAGATAATTTCAACCAGCAAAAAAAGAAGATAAGTATTTCTAACATTTTCTCTCCCAAAAATAGTAAAATTATTTCAAGTGTTTCTCCACCGAATAAACACTTTAATTCAGAAAAAAAAGGGTATAAAAATCCATTTTTGCATCCTCCCCCTCTGACATCCATTGCCCATCTCTTTCAGGGTATAGAAAGCCAAGAATGGCGGTGTTCTATGTTCCTGTGCTTACGTTCACAAAACCTATCTCCTATATTGGTTTTCTTTTTTTGAAATGAGGGAACATATTTTCTCT